ACACCCTGCAACTGATTTCATCATGCTGCAATTGTGCTTAAATACTGAGTGACCAGAGCAGATGTTTGTCTTCCCTTCGCACCTGTAGAGAGTAATATAAAATAAACTTCACCTATCTGAAGTCCTCCTTGCAGTTAAGCATCTTGCCCCGCACCTCTGAAATAATTTCCCTTTGTGGTGGTATCAGAACTGGATGTGCTTGTTGCTTGTTTAAACTTATTTCATGAGTTCCCAATTTAAGACCGTTTTAACGCCCAAAGCTGGCAGCACCGTATCTTGAAAGCTGAATATGTGAATGGGCATTATTGTAGTAGGATAAAAACTACTCCCAAGACCCCCTAAAATAAAAAAGCACCATAATTGCATGTTGTGAGGCAGTTGTTTTCTACTGAACCCTGCATGGTTCTTCATATGTTCAACTTCTCCAGGGGAAGCTGCCGGCCCGAATAACCGTGCCCCTGTCGGTGATCAGCCAGCCCGTGAAAGGCAAGAGTGTCGTCACTGCCCCCATCATCAAGGGCAACCTTGGGGCCAAGTGAGTACTTTGCGTGGGAAGAGCTTGGAGAAGCTCTGTGACAAGTCAGGGTCTAGAGACCGCAGTACGAAAGTGACCTGAGTCTGTCTGTAGGGCCATTGACAGCAAGAAATTAAATTAATTTAGTGTCTCGTGATGAGAACTTGGTCTGCTGAGGGGCCCTGAGATGTAGGTTCAGTCCAAAAATGGTCTCTGCTTGAAAATAGTTATTAGAAGAATCCTGTGTGTTTGAGCAAGAATTAACCTGACGACAAAGCTAGAAATATTTGTCGTCTGGGACACGCTCTCTCTGTTAAAGAATTCAGCTCAATGTTAATTGCATCCATGCTAATTCTTGTGGCATTCAGGTATTGGAGTCCTCTTGTTTATTCTTCCATGAATTCTGGTCGTGTCTCCCTTAGTTAAATCTTCCAGCAGAACACCGTGTGCCTTGCTATTTTTTGCCTTCCCTGAGAAGTGCTGGGGTCTGATCAGGCTAACGCAGTGGTGTGCCCAGCCCAGAGTTCAAGCGTTTAATTCATGTGATAAAATAATTTTCTCTTGCCGTGAGAACAGTGGACACAAACTTGTCGCTTTTGTAATCTTCAGTCTCATTACTTTAATGAACTAGAGAAATAACTTAAATCTCTCAGCACCTGAAGAACTGTTTAAGCAGACCCAGGAAAGCACTTTCTATAGATGAACCACAAATTAATGTGTTTATCTCAGTGTAGGTTGCTTTATGGAATGGGGCATGGGAGATGTGGCCTGCTCTGCTGTTCACTGACCTCTCCATGCTTCTCTTCCCATAGCATCAGCGGCTTGGGTAGAAATATCATCCTGACTACGATGCCTGCAGGGACAAAACTCATCGCTGGGAACAAGCCAGTGAGTTTTCTGACTGCACAGCAACTGCAGCAGCTGCAGCAGCAAGGCCAGGCCACGCAGGTAAAACACCTGAAACGATTCTTTGGTTTGCTTTACTTAACACCTCCGTGAGGGCTTTACACTTGATACATGAGATTCCGTAAAAAATACATTACGCACATGCAGTGTTTCACCTCCTTTACCTCCCTAGCATTCAGGTAGGTTTTGAAATGTGTTTTGAAGTACCAGTAGTGAATGTAAAACCAGAAATCCTGCTCGGAAATGTTTCTGATGGATTGAAGGGTTCTTTTTGTACACTTGCCTTTTATTGGTACTCTCTACTTTGGGATCTGCAGGGCTCCATTTCTTGGAGAAGTTACATCTCTTTGTTGTACATCCATGTCTCTGACTACAATCTCAGTGTTCAGTAATTCCAAGCAAGTAACCTGCTGTGAGAGCTCTTAGTAACAAGCCTGAGGAAGTGAAATGTCCAGTGGGTCAGAGTCATTGTTCTGCCAGCTTGTAAAAGCAGTTGACCTATAGCTTTTCCTTGAAAACTAGTCCTTGCTCTCTGATCCTGAGACCTCTCGCCACCATGTGAGCAGTAGATGCACTGATCTTGTGCCAGAGTCTGTTCCTGATGTATTTTGCTGCTTGGTCTTGTTGGTGTAACTGAATTTTTGTTGTGATGAAAGCAGGATGCAAGTGCAAAGCAACAGGAGGTTCTCCTTGGCATGAGCTGGATTCTTCTCTTTCCGTTTCAAACAGGTGCGGATTCAAACAGTCCCAGCCTCCCATCTGCAGCAGGGAACAGTGTCTGGCACAACTAAAGCAGTTTCCACTGTGGTTGTGACGACGGCTCCATCTCCAAAGCAAACCCAAGATCAGCTATGAGCTCCGGTTTGGAAGTCGATCTGCTTTCCAGGAACATCCCTGATTCCTTTGGCATCGGAGCTAGGGATCGGACTGAAATCCACCACGTGCCAAAAGCAACGTGCTTGTCTGGAGTCAGCTTTGTGATGTCTAGGAAGCAACGCCACAGCAAAACGTGCTGTGCTTCCAAAACAAGGTGTTTTCAGGCCCGATGTGTAAAGCCAAGTCCTGTGGCGCGGATCGTGTAAGAAACGTCTCCCTGCTTTGTTCTCTTCCATCCAAATGGCTTTTTCCCAAAGGCCGCCTGTCATTTCGCTGCGTTTCGGGTTGTAGACAAGGCAGTTAATCTTGGGTCTTCCTTAACCAGTGCAGCTTGCTTGGGAAGGGGTGATTCTTTGGCTTTCCAAAGCCACCACGAAGATGCATCCTTTTCCTCGAGACTAGTTGTCAGGACTTCAAGTGACTTAGACTCGTACACCAGAGTTGGTAACATAGCCTGGAAGTAGATCCCTAACACATTCACTTTACTATTTATAGACTTTTTTTTAATACCTCTCCCCTGTCTCTGCGCTCAAACTTCATCCCACTGAACAGATCCCGCTTCCATGTCCCACGTTTGTCAGCTTTTGTTATGCTTAAAGGCAGGATGAGTCCCTCAGCAAGGCATTCCTTGTGGAAAAAGTGCTAGCAACCATGGGAAAGGGTGAGAACTGGAGGAAATGTAGAAAATCTTTGTGTGCACGAGTGTGTCAGCAAATGGGGTATATTGGAAAGGAAAAAGAGAGCATTCACCAGGAACTTGTTCCTTTCGTTTTCTTCAACCACCTTTGTATCAGTCAAACAGACTGTAGCTTGTTCTAAAAGAAAATAAAAGGACTGTGATTTCAAATATACCCAAGGATTTGGATGGAGGAAATGTTTTAACACGTGAGCCTGGCCTTTAGTTTGATTCTTATGTTTGCAATTTTTGTTTTCTGTATAAATTGTTTGAATTTTGCACATAACCGGAGACAAATCTGTTGCTGTTCTGACACGACCTGGAAGTATTCTTGGCATGAAAAGAAATGCTGGACTAGGAAAAGAATAAAAGTGCAGAAAGCCTTAAAAGTCTGTCTACCATCTCTCTGTCGTTCTCTACAGCATATATATTAAATATATATAATATATATATATATTGCTCTGGGTTATATATTATTGTATATAATCTTGCAGCCTCATTGGGAGCTGTTAAGAACCCATTGCCCCGGAGCAGAGCAGGCGGCTTGGCTGGGCATCGGTCCTACAATAGCTCACCTAGTTTGGGGTGGATTGCAGGAAATTGGGTATTTACATAAAAGGAGGGGATAGCAGCAAGTATTGAGTAAGGACACACCAAAACCAGCACTTTCAAGCCTGCACGTGCAGTAAGGTTTATATATATGCAGCCAGATCTTACCTGTTTTGGCAGGAAGGCTCAGGGTTTGTTGCCTTAAGGCTGGATTTAATCCCTGCTTACACTTTTGTTGTTATTTTTTGAAATACGAGTCAAGCAGCTCGGAGAGCAACAATTTAATTGGTTTCCAAGTAAGTTTTCCCATCTTATTTCCAGGTAGACCTTGGCAGTAGAGCCAGACCAGGTCATGGATTTGCAGGTGCTAATTACTTCCTCAGGAAGGATTTCTTAGGCTGGCAATTACCAGTCAAAGGTAGGAGGCTGTTGTTTTCCCTCCAGCCAGAAATATTAGGTGGGCATCAAGGTGTCATCATTGATATCTAACTGGGTTTTTATTTTTGCAAAAGGTCTTTGGGCGCTTTCCAATAAAAGAAGCAAAAACCGTTAGCAAAAATAGGAAGTTGAAACAGGCTGAGCAAAATTCCTGCCCCTTCCCGCACCTTTGAGCTTTCCACATTCTCCGATTTCACCGGCCTGCAAGGCTACAGCATTGCCTGGGCTGGCTGGAATTTGCAGCAGAGCTAGCAGAAACAGAAAGGCCATTTCAGGCCACATCGCTGTACTATTAAGGCTATTTTTTGACTTTTTTTTTTTTGGTATGTTTGTAGTAAAAAGAAAGGTACTGATAGGTTTTGACACATGCCAAGAGTGAAGGAACTCTGATACGCCACCGTCTGCCCCTGACTTTTAAGGTCATTTGGTTCTTTTCCCTTCCAAATTAAAGCGTGGGTTTGAATGATGCTCCCAAGAAAGGTCTGTGCCCATGGAGTCACAGAGCTGGCCGGAGCCTCAAGCTGCTTTTTAGGAATCACTGCCACCAAATTTGCATGTAACAGGGAAGATTGGATCTGAATCGGGTACGGCTCAGCCCTGTGTTTCCCTTGGGGTGACCAGGTTTGTGCGTGTGGAAGGGATCTGCTCAGAGCAACACACAGTTCAGCTGGGTTAAGCCCCGTTCCGAGGGTTTTTAGGGATTTTGCGGAACAAGCCGCTGCATGAGCTCATTTTGCACGGGAGCAGCTGCATTCTCACCGTGCCCCACTAGAGGGACAGCTGGAAAAACATCCTGGGATTCACGGGCCCAGAGACCCCAGGGGCTGGATGCTGGAACAACTCCAAAAAATGAAACCGCGCACCTCCAAAAAGTGGGGGAAATGAGAGGAATAATCAGTGAGAGCCGCGGGGTTTGTGGCTCTCGCTCTCAATGGAGGTAACGTCATCGCACGACCTGCACTTGTTATTTTTTGAGGCAGGAGAGGCCTGGCCGGCTCCACCTCTCGGCGATAACCAGGAGGGAATCGGGCGGCTCGGGGGCGTCGTGTGCATCTTTCACCCGGGTGAGGCCCGGCCTGGGTGGTTGCGCAGACACCTGAACTCCCTTTGAAACCCGGGTGTGCCCGAGCGCCGCGTGCCCAAACCAGGCGGGCCGGCCTGGCCGCCCCGCTGCAAAAAACGCTGTAGCTGCTCGCGAAGAGAGCTGGCAAATCATGCCCAGGAGCGCGCCCACAGGATGGAGCTGATGGGTGCTCTCCTGTGCTCTCCTGCTCCCAGGAAGGCAGCGGGTGATGGAAACGCTTTTCTGTGAGTGCTAAGACCAGGGAAACCGGCTTTTCCCCCTCGGCACACGTTGGAACTCTCACCCCAGAGCTCGCGCCCAAAGGGCCTCGTGGCACCACGGCGCCCGCTGAAAGAACGCGGTGCATTTTTACAGCTCCCCCTCTCCAAGGTCAGTGTTCTTCCCCTCGCGTTACAGCCGGAGGCCCCAAAGCGGGAAGACTTTCGGAGCAGCGTTCGGCACCTCCGCTCGCCAGGGGTTACCGGTTCAGTCGGAAAGCACGGCGCTTCGGATGACGTTTTCCTCTCCTCCCAGTGAATCAGCCTTTTATTTGCTCAGGGCAATGCGTGGTAACAGGACACCCCGTGGGTTTTATCTCCCTCTCTGGATCTTTTCAAAGCCGGAGTTGCCAGACCGGCTTGCAGACACGAAGAGGGCGGTTTCAGGGCTGCCTGGCAGGAATCCAGGTGGGAGGGCCCGGCCAGTGAAATTTGAGTTTAGGAGTCTGGGGCCAAGCTTGAGACGGGCAAGAGGGCCCTTGTCACCGCCTGTTCGAATCCAGCCCTTCGCTGGGGAGGCTCTGGGGATGGATGGTGCTCGCTCGCGGAGCTAGAATTCCTGGGAACGGCCTCCGTGGGAAGGCACTTCCCCTGCCTGCGCTCCTTGTGTAAGCAGTTTGCCACCTTTTTCCCTGCGTGGCCTTTCCCGGCCTCCTTTGGGACTCCTGCTTGGGTGGAAGTCGTCCCGTTTTAGCCCTTGCAGCTCGAACGTGGCCACGGCAGAGCTGGACGTGGCTCGCGGAGGTTAAACGGGGCTCAAGCGGGCGCTCTCCTTCCTCCCCAAGGTGCGTTGATCTTCTGCCCGAATGTGGCCACACTGAAAGGAAGAGGAGGAGGAAGAGGTGACGGTTTCTATTTGATGAACCCACGGAGGTGAGGAGGACCCGAGGCTTCCTGCGCTGCTGCTTGCTGCCACTGCACGGGGTGAGTTATTCCCTGCGTCTGCTTCCATGCCATCCCCAGCTCCACGGTGCTGGGCAGCCTCTGCTCCCACTGGAGCCCCGTGGGAGTATCTGTCACTGCGAAGCACGTGGCGCTCCTGATGGAGAGCTGGCTCTGGCCAGGGCCCAAATAGAGGGGACCCTGAGCTGCCACGGTGACTTGGTCATTCCTGCAGCACGGGCACTCCGTAAACCGCAGCTTTAGCAGCTAAGAAGCAGGAATCCTATCGTTTATTTTGGGCTCTAAAGTAACTGCCTCCCAGCTAGGTGGTGTTTTACACTGCCACATACCCTCGTACCTTCATTCCCATATCCACGGGGCTAAGGAATTAGTTTGGAAGTGTCAGTAGCTGGAATGGCAGGAAGCACCGAACGTTCCCAGGAAGCTCCCCGGAGCTGAGGCTCTCCAAGGACTCTCCCCGACTCTTTTCCCGAGGGATGGAGGCACAGGAGAGCGCAGTGCTGGGCTGGGCAGCAGGGAGAGAGCCGAGAGCAGCTCCTGACATCAGCCAGCCCGGCAGTTTCGGCAGCCTGACTAACACCGGCCGTGCGGAGGGGAATGCCTTGATCCAGAGACACTTCCTGCTGCGCCGGGCGCAGGGAGGGAATGGGAAGTGCAGGGGGGTTCCTGCGAGCTGCCCCGCGTTGCCCACGTGAACACAAAGCAGCAGGGATCTGGGATCCTGCTGGGATCTGCAGCATCCCGCGTTGTGCCCCGCTTTCTCCCGGGCTCCTGCAAACGGAGCTCAAATGTTTCGCTCAGAGCAATGAGTTTCGCACAGGAATCAAGGGGCAACTTCTGCTTGAGCTAAAACAGAGTGCGGGGATACATAAGGATACAAGAGGGGGGAGAAAACACGGTGTGCCATTTTGCTCGGCCAAACTCGCTGCTGTCACCTGCCTGGCGGATGCAAATCCCGGTTTTTCCGTGCCCGGTTTACTAGAGCGCGGCATGAGGTTCAGCGCCCGCGCCAAGGTGAGCGGCGCCCGCGCTGGGAAACGCCACGGCCTTGAGCTCGGCTTAAGCTCGGCTTAAGCTCAGCGGGGCCGTGGTGATGGGAGCGGGGAGAACCCGTGTGTTTGGCTGCCGGCGAGCCCTGAGCTTGGGTAATTCCGGAGGGTTTTATGAGGGACTTGGAGCCCTGTTGGGGCTGCTCTTGCTGCCGGGGGCTCGGGCAGGAAAGGCCCCCAACGCTGCTGTTTTGGGGCTCCGCGGCCGGGCGGCAGGGGGCGCTTTTTGT